ACACACACACACACACACACACACACACACACACACACACGTAGGCCTACAAAACAGTTTTTATTCTGTTATCTTCATTTAAGATCTGCTAAGGTATTCTGTCTGCAAAAGTAATTTGGTTAATTGCGATAATTTGCCAAGTTCTTATCTTTAAACAATGGCATTGCTGAAGTATGCACGTTTGTGTGAGTGTTCAATAAAAGCCAGTTTTAACCCTTGCGAGGATCAAATATAAAGAGAATGGTCTGCAGCCTCCAGGACAAAGAAAGCATAAAAGCACGAGAAAGAAAGAGGAAATCAAAGTAATGGAATCCAGAGAGAGAAAGAAAGAGCGATTGAGACAGAGAACGAGAAGCATTACACTGCAAATATGATCAGGGAATGAAAAACAGAGGGAGGCAGGCCGAGATCAAATGGGCAGATGGAAAGTGAGAAAGTGAACGCAGATCTGGTTGTGCAGCTAATAAGAGCGAGATGGACGTCTCTGATGACCCTGGGTTTCTCTGACACACTTCATAAAATCCCTCACTGATCTTTCTTGCTAAATGCAGACAGAGAGAAACAGCATGAACTACAATATTTTACACAACATATTTTACTGCTAAAATGTGACATATTTCCAAGTTAAGCAGAATATTCAACTTGAAAAATGTAGGACGCAGTTCGATTTGATCATGAGTTTCCATATCAAGCTGAGTGCAAGTTTGCTTAAAAAATGTCCAAATTTAGTTCATGATTAACACCCTGTGCGGCCTAGGTGACATCAGCGGTAAAGGATAGCTGTTCGAGAAAGATTTTGACTAATTAATTTGAATATGAAGAATTTTTTTCAAATAACATGAAACAATGAATCGCTCACAATAAGACCACTAATATACATTCATTTATAGTGATGTTAAGGCAAGTGTGGTGTGTCACCTGTTTGACATCTCTGTTGATGTTGACCAGGTCAAAAGAGAAGACGTGATCCTCCGCACCAACCAGCAATCTCCCTCTCTCCTCATCCATCAGGAACGTGTCGTAACCTGAACTGTTTGCCAATCCAGTGAAAGTCACAAGATTACTGGATTCCAGCATTTCTGAAGGACGGAACAAGAAAAAGAAGGCAAACGTAAGTCTAGAATGAAAAATATATTCAAATCCATTCAAAGTTCAAAAAGAAGGTCCCACAATATATTGTTATTATATATTAAATAAATAATGTTATTTATTTATTTATTTAAAATGATAGATTTAATATATTTTTAAGTAACTGTTGAAATAATAATAAAAAGAAATTCTGTTTGAGGTTAGCAGAAAGCTTAACAAGAAGGTCCCACTATGTATTGAAGATTTTTTTTGTCTTTATCTCATTGTTTTATACAAATTCTATATTTTTAAACAACTACTATATTATTTATAATACTTTTTAATTGTAAAATTAATAAAAACATTTATTTTATATATAAATACAAATACAAATAAATATAAAAATATCTTAAAATATTTTTAAATATTTGTTTTCAGACACCTGAAGGCTATTTGTTTTCAGACTACCTGAAGGCTATTTGTTTTCAGACTACCTGAAGGCTATTTGAAGTTATCTGTGGCACTTTCTGCATCTTCTGCATCTGCACTAATCATGTGTTTAGTTACAATTTCTTTAAAACCACCTCGATGGTTAGTGGACCACAACTGTATCTTTTCAACCATAGCATGAAAATTGCTGAGGAAAACACTGCATGATCGAATCACAAGGACCAAATCAAGTGTATGACCAGCTGACCCACGTAATCATTTATATGAGCTTAATAACTGAAATTGTTTGTGTGTGTGCACACACGCTGGGTTTGAGGTAGTATCAGAACAGCTCTTAAACATGTTGGTATATACAGCTTATTTAATAGGTTCTTATTGCACTTTGGCACTTACATCTACATCTCATAGTCTATATAAAGCCAGAGGGCCTGATTTAGCATTTGTGTGTATAAAAACGGTGCAACGTCATAATACAAGAATCTGATCTACTAATGTAGCTTGCTGAGTACATCTTTCAACACCAGCACTAAAAGCCTCCTTTAAATTAGGGTGCGTCAATCTTATTTGCACAATAATTCTGAGTAAATCACTTGCAATGCACCCACTAAGCGACCACACGCAGTTTGTTAGATTGCACAAGCAAATTACTACCGCTTTATTTGGAATCTTAGTAACTCGGGTCAGAAGAATAGCTAATCAAGTAAAAACTGCTGTTGTTATGGCAGATACAGCCAAATAAACTATCTGCGCAACAGCACTAGACCAGACATTGTGAAAATATAATGACCTGTGACACAAAACCTGCCAAATTTGTCACTCTCCCAGTGAGCAAGGAAACAAGATTGGATAAAAGTATAAGAGAAGGCTGAAGGGAAAGAAGAAAAAAAAACCAAGTGAAGAGGAGATGAAGTGAGAATGATAAGGAAGAGGTGAAAAAGAGAAATGACTTTGGAAAAGAGCTCGCAGGAGCCACCGGCCAGAACATCTGCTCAAGGGAGAGGGTGAGGTCAGCATCTCTGCAATGTTTCTGCAACATGCACACGAATCATAATCAACAGTGACACGCAAAGACTGCAGCTCCTCTCCAGAGCCCAGATCAATCCGCTCCTATAGTAGCCATCTGCGTTTCTCCCCGCCAAGATTCTGGACATCTGTGTGGTTGTGGGAGAAGGAGAGAGCGAGCAAGGGAAAGCGTTAAGGAGAAACAGACCATCCTTCCTTTGCCTGTGTCAATAACACTGCATATCAAATGTAGAACACCGTTCCCGCAGGACCGAATGCAGAATGGGCACAATTCAGTCTGTCCGTTCCTGCTGATTTCATTCTCTGCTTCCAACACGAGAGTTTCATTAAGCAATCACAAGCAATATCCAGATATATAAACGGATGCCAGGCCTGTCTGACAGACTCCGGCTGAGTCAGAATATTGAGTAAGTTCTCTTTTATGTAAGGGAAACGTACAGAGGGGTCTTCTGTCACCCTGAATGGGTTTATTTAAACAATATCACATGGGAAAAAGATCTGTATCAGCAGTTCTAGAAAGACACATTTTATATTGGTTAACTTGCAAGAAATTAATACTTAAAGTGATTAAAAGTGACAGTAAAGACTTGTCATATTTTCAAAAATGTCTATTAACATATTAAATGTTCTTCTTTTGAAATTTCTATTCAAAGAGATCTGAAAAAAAAGTTTTTTTTTTAAATGTTTCTGAAACAAATCAGCATATTCAGCATTTTCCATCTCAAGTAATACATTAAAATTTAAAATATATTAAAATAGAAAACAGCTATTTTAAATTGTAATAATATTTCACAATATTACTCTTTTTACAGTATATTTATCAAATAAATTCAGCCTGGGTGAGCATAAGAGATTTCTTTTGAAAACATTAAATATTTTACCAACCCCAAACTTCTGAAAGGTAGTGTATTTGGCAAACAAATAACCAGAGGTTGCAGGGTGATACAAGAGATATGGAACTAAGAATTTGATTCTCTGGGTCAACAATCTATAATAAAGGTTGCTAAACTTTGTAAAAAAATATCTGATAGCAGAATGTCACAATTGACAAATCAAAATCAAATCCCAGAGAAATGTTTAATTAATGCCAAGCGAACTTCTGTAAGATACAAAGCACTGCATATTCAGAAAACTATACTAGTGCTTTGAAGAACCAGAACCCATTCAAACCAATAATGTAACATGAAGAACTTTATAACATGAAGAACCATATCATAACCGACTCAAGAAACCATAAAGTAAATCATGGTTCTTCTATAGAAGAACCACCATTAAAGAATGTAAAGGAAAGTAGTTTGAAAACATAAGTCATTCATTTCGCAATTCTTCCCAGTGCTGCTATGTGTCTAACACTTTCAAGAAGAAATATTAATAGTCAAAAGTAGCTTATATTCAGGAAATAAAAGAAAGCCACACTGATCCCCACTTGCCAGACTCCAAGGGAGGCCTGAGAGAACATAAGAGGACATCCTAGAAGTCTCTTCATCTCATCTTCCTTTTTTCCCCTCTCCCCTGACTCATTATTCTCACTCATCTAGTCTTTGCATCGTTCCATGTGCCAAATATTCTTATTCTTAGCCTCCTTTTTCTCTGTCAGTGTCTGTAATACTGCCGTTACGTGAACTTCTCCAAAGCTTCACTCTCCTGCCATTCTGGCTCAAGATCTGACGGCCGTGTCTGCCAGTTTCACTATTCCCCTGCTCAAAGTAAATGACTGGTGCTTGAACTCTGAAGACCAGGCATTTTTTTTTTCTTAAAATGCTGCCTTGGCAAGACTATCACAAAAGGTAGCCGTCATATGGTCCGTGATCACACATACACACACACTTTATCCGGGGGATATATCAACCTCGATAGAAGCTTAGAGTAAATGGAGTGTGAGATTTAAAAAAGGAAGCTTAACAAATGTGTCTCGCTCTTTCTCAGTCTCTCTCTGTCCCGTAGACTAAGAAGTGTGCTGTCAACTCTTCATATATCATAGAATACATCATCATATATCATCATCATACACTTGATTTATACACCGCAACATTTTCATTCATACACCTTTGTTGTACATGAAAACTAAATACCAATACTAAGCAAACCTAAAATTTTACAATTGAAAATTCTAAACTTAGAACTGAAATTCTAAATTGAAATACTTGCTGAAAACATGCTGAGTTCAATAAAAAAGATTTGCAAAACTATACATTTTAGAAACTTTTAGGGAACACTATTCGCTATTAACTAGTTGCTTATCAGCATGCATATTACTAGAATATTGGCTGTATATAAGTACTTATAAAGCACATATTAATGCCTTATTCTGCATGACCATGTTCTAGATCCCTTAATATATATACAATATGTGTGTGTGTGTGTGTGCATATGCTGCCAGTGATACAAACATTTTATTAAAATGTAAAATATAAAATAAAAATCTAAAAATTAAATATAAAAAACTTACAACTCTGGCCATACATATGTAGAAAAATCTAAATCTAAATTATAAATTATAAAAATGTACAAATATAAACCACTTGACCTCACTAATCAATTAGTTGACCAATTAGGTGACATATCCCTAAAATAAAAGTCACTTAACGGCCAAAAATGTAAAATAGCAGTATATCTAATATAACCCACATGACAAGAAAGAACCAACCTGTACTGTTTTACGAGGTCAAAATAAGTAGAAAATGAATCATGCAGCAAGTCTAAGGGACCAAAAAAACAAAACAGTTTTGGACTTCAGGAAAGGTGTATAGTTATGTATCTGTATGTGTTTGTAAGATGGGAAAATGTGTGCATGCTGTTGCCACTGTGCTTTAACTCTGCCTCGGGCTACCAGTCGCCCCAGGAGAGCGAGGGAAGTGCTGAAAGAAGGAATAAAAAGTGAAAGAGTGCTGCAGATGGTTTTGGGCGCTACCTGTTTATTTAAGCCAGAACAATGACGCGCTTCAAAACGGTTTTGGCAAAAGTCCTCCTTCTCTCTGTTCTCTCAATGGGCTAAGTGTGTGGTTTGGTCTTGTCAGTTTTGTGCTTGAGAGAGCCTAGATTTTAGAAACAGATTTGCTTAACACGCTGTTTCGCATTTTGCTTGAAGTTCTGGGATAAGAATAAGCCTGTAGTTTCGCTTCATTTGAACTTGCTCTCGCATGCAACCGGCCGCAGGTTTTGGTAAGTTTCCCCGGTAACCGTGCTGGATCTCGGCCTTTGAGAGCTCAATCTGTTGGATTGACAGCTAGTGAAGGGCTGTTGAGAGCGGGACGACACCTGTGGGCCACCATTTGATTCCACTGACACCAACAGGAGACATAATCACTGTGTCAAATCTCTTTATACACATTAGTTTTAATAATAGACGCCTCTGTATGAACTGATTTATGTCACGGCCAACTGGCTCAAATTTCCATTCACAAAGCCAAATGGTGAGGAAAAGACTGATGTCTGTTTTTTTTTTTTTTTTTTTTTTTTTTTTTTTTTCTTAAGATGCATGTGGCATTTATAAAGATGAATTTGTTTAGATTAAAGGAATAATTTCACCAAAAATGAA